GCCCACCGGAGTGCGTTACCCTTGAGCTGGCTTGTAAAGTAGGTGATTTTAGCATTATCCGAGGAGTAGAGTTTGGGGGCTCCGCTGAACGCGAGCTCACACTGGAGAAGAAAACCGTCACATTGCTCTGGGTCACCGGAAAAAAGTTCGGACGGTTTTACCAGTAACTGTGGTTCCGATGCATGTCCCGCCGAGCAGGTGCACGTATGACTGTTCTCAGGGGTTTCTGCTGTGACTGTAGGAGGAGAAGAAGAGAGAGTCTGTTTAATTGAGTAAACCATACCTCCCAGCTCCTGTAGATTTGCTTGGGTTTGTTGTTGTTGCTGGACCATTTTTAAGAGGATTTTCTCGATCTGATCAACTCGCTCTGTTTGTGACGAAGGCATGGCTTGGTCGTTCCGAGCCTCGTTCTGGGTTTGGTCTGGCTGGAGCATTACTGTTGTAAGTGTGGTCAACCCAGTTGTAACGAGAACCCAGAACGACACAAGACTGAGATACAAAAAATGATATTTATTTACAGTGAAACTAAGATTATATACAATATATACAGGGGCCTGGAACTGGAACTCCTGGAAGAGGGAAATAGTTTGTTCAGACCGAGACCAGGTAAGTGACGAGAGAAACAGTTTTGATTTGTTGTTTTCTGTCTTACAGTTTTGTTGGTACTGGAGTGAGTTCAGGAGTCCCAAGAAGTATGAGTCCCAGCCACAGGTTCTGTTATGATCCAAGATCCAAAAGTCAGGGTTTCCGTGAGGCCCGACAGGATGTCGAGAGGACAAGGCAAGATTGGTTCGTCCAAAGCGAGGAACTGCTGACATAGAAAACACAAGGTAAGTTATCATAAACACTGGAGAGCATAAAAGGCTGAGAGCACTAGTACCGAGAGGGAATCAATGCTCCAGCATCGAGTAGTCTTGACTGCAGCCTTAAATAGGAGTCGATGCTCATCAGGGAGATGACCGCCAGGTGTAGGTCGTTAGCGGCCATCTTGGAAGCTGCAGCAGAGCTACTCTCACACTAGAACCCATTTTTTAAACGCACATCTTCTGCATTACTTGATAAAAAAACGTAAGCATCATGTGCTCCTCTTTCCCTTCAAAAACTGAAAACCAGCTCCTTGCAATCCTAAACAGAACAAAAGGGTCATAGGAGATGGATGGATTAACTTCATTTTCTGTATATCTCTTACGTGAGAAGAAAAAAGAAAACATGAAATTGGGGTTACATAAGCATAGACGGTTGAAACAGAAAAACTTATAATGGTAAATCAGTCAAAGAACAATCGCTAGCAACAAAAATGGCAAGAAGAGGAATGAGAAAACCTAAAGGAAAGAACAAGATGAAGAAGGATAAAATATTGAATCACCCTAATAAAAGGTCTGAAGTAGCTGCATTTGTGGTTCTCTGTGGAAGAGATCATAACTGGGACACTTGGGAAACATGAACACATAAATACACACTCATCTGTCTATGGTAGAACAAAAGTAACTCTGAGGAAAACTATGTTGTATTGTTTATTACCAATATATAGAGACAATTTATCACCCGCATACACACACACGCACAAACAACCTCATGTCACATATGACTCTTGAGTCAATAAATCTGCACCCCTGCCGAAAACTATTTTGGCTTCAATTACAGAGGGTTAGACTGAGTGTGTGTTGGATATGTGTATGTGTGTTAACTCACATATTTTAGTTGTAGTTGATGTTTTATGTGTCTGGTTTGCAGTAATGTAGTTGCGTGTAGGCGTAGTGCAGTGTGTGGACAGATGCACGTGTGTGTGCGAGAGTAAAACTTCTTATTTGGCTGTATGAGTAATTTATTGTGCTGGCCTTTATATGTTTGCCAATCTGTTGAGCAGCTAAATGGATTGCTGACACCATCAAATTTGGAATGAAAATTGGATAAGTTGCTACTCTCTAAGCATTTCATGGTAAAAAGTAAGAAATATGTAGTTTTTTTAATTTGAATAGATGACACAAGCAAGGAAGAGGTCAAAAAAGGAGCAAAATAGAAAATTACAGTTTTTCTGTTATAACATGATTTAAAATAAAATGGGTACAAATCCATGTGGTAATATGAAGTAAAACATAGTGTGCAAGAATATTTCTACTTATCTCCATCAGCCTGCTTCTCTACTGAACTAAATCTACTGTATCTAAACTCAAGTTTTTCCTTCACCACTGACAAATCCTCCTCTTCCCACAAGTTAAGAGTCTTGGCATCATCCTGGACAGCACAATATCATCTCACTCTCATTAATAATATTATCGGGACTTAGGCCTGTCACGATAACAAATTTTGCTGGGCGATTAATTGTCTCAGAAATTATTGCGATAAACGATAATATTGTTTGAAATTTAACAATAATTGTCAAATTTTAGAAGAAATGTTGATTTGTTTGGTATGTAGTTTCTTTTTTTGACCACCTGATGGCAGTTTAATACTGTTTGAACCAAAGGATGGCTAGTTGAGCAGCTTGCCTCTTTAAGAAAAATGGGAGGGAGGGCCCTTGACATGACATGGGCTGATATGGTGACATGACGGACACTCAGTGATTTGAGCTCTTTAGCATAGCATTTTTCACACAAAGCTTTTAGTAAAAAATTAGTAAACAAGTTCTCAGCTTCTTTTTGTAGAGAAAAACAACTTTTTACATGAAGGCACCATTTCAACTGTGAATTTTGGAGCTCGACAAGATGTAGGTTTATTCCTGAGGTCTGCCTGTTAGCTTAGCTCGTAGCTTAGCTTCTCAGCTTAGCTGCTTTTAATGATCCACAAACGCGATTTTGGACGGTTAAAACAGATTTTAAGGAGAAAAGAGAAAGGGAGAGGTCAGTGAAGAGCACCGGAGTTGAGCCATGTCTTCAGTAGAAAGAGAGAGACACGAAGAAACGATAAAGCCGGTAAATTAAAATAAGGTAGATACTTTTCATTCATCATGCGATTAATTGATTTATTGTTTATCGCGACAGGACTATCAGGACTTCATATTTCCACCTATGGAATATTAATCAATTCCACCACTCCCTTGCCTCGTGTACCACTTCCATCCTTGCTAATAGTCTTTTTATGTTTCATATTGATTATTGTATGCCTCTTCTGTGACCTCCCTCAAAAAACCCTCCAGAAGCTGCAAATGGTCTAACATTCATCAGGTCGCATCAGTACCCCAGTTCTACAGGAACTCCACTGTCTTCCTGACATATTCAGAGTTCACTTTGAAATTCCACTGTACACATTCAAGGCCATGCACAACTTCGCCCCTCATCCATCTTATCTCCTGCACATCACCACCTCTTCCCGCTCACTCGGCTGCTCCTCTTCTTGCCACCTCATCGTGCCCTTCGTCCACATCAGCACCAGGGGAAACAGAGCTTTTTACCACTCTGCTCCCCAACTCTGGACCTCTCTTCCACCAAACATTTGCATCTTCCTACTTTCAAATCACGACTCAAAACTTAGGACATTTCTTTGGCCATTTTTACTTGTTTTTATTTCTCAATTTTATTGTGCTTGTGATTTTGTATTGCATTGTTTTACCTCTGTAAAGTGTCCTTGAGTGTCTAGAAAGGCGCTTACAAATAAAACGTATTATTATTACTTGTGTTTGCTCGTTTGGTACATGTGAAGTCATTAACATAATCCGTGCCTCTCTGTGTTGGCATGCTCTGCCTTATCTTGCCAGAATTTTCCTGATCTACTATTGTAGCAGGCAGTTCCATAGGCACTACCTAATTAGCTTAAGCTTTGCAAAATTACACACACACACCACACATGCAGTTTAGTGTAATGACTTTGAGTTCATTGTGAATGCAGTCACAGAAAGTATAATGCGAAGGGAGAATAAAAACTGTTTTACTTAATTGACAGATTGGATGCTGGTGTGTGGGTGCTTGGGGAGAGGTAAAAAATGAAAATAAATAGGGGAGTTGGAAAGAAAAAGAAAGGCAGACAATGAGTGGCATATGGTTAAAAGATAGGAAAGGAGAAAAGCAGACAGAAAGAGAGAAGATGGTAAAGAAGAAATGGAAATAGTCAATGGTAAATTAAAGTGGTTAGGAGATGTCAAGATGGGAGCTGGAGAATAAGAGTGCACAGGAAAATCAAACACTGGAGAAGAAGAAATTGAACATTGCATAATTATGAATACATTTAATGTGTTTAATTGTGAGATGTGATTTTGGACAGCATTGTCTTGTAGCATATAGACCTTTTTTTAATGCATGTGTGCTCTCTAGGTGTTGTGAGAGTGAGAGCTGGGGGTAGGGTTCATTTAATGAGCAGCTTGTGGTTCCAGCTCTAGCAGCCAGTCTCTCCTGTCTCCTTTATCATCCATCGTGGTGTGACGGCTCATTTCTCGGTCGCTTCAGCTTCTTCAGCTATTACCCTCCTATAGTGGTTCAGATGGGTTTGTACTGGGATAGACACTTGTAAATTATCCACATTTACATGTCTGTATACTTTGTTTAATGCCCCAATTTGCTAATAAAGGGAGATTCCTGCAGCAGGTTATCTCACAAATTAACCTGTCTAATAGATATGATGGCAGGTTGAGGAACTGCATCTGAGCTGAGACACTGGTTACACACTGGTTGTATTTAAGCAATGAGATATTGACCTTCCATTAGTTCCGCACTTTACATTTTACTCTGTGTTGAAAGGTTTTGTGACACAAGAATAATAATAACATTGTTCAGGTTCTCTTCCCTGTAACACTCTGTTGTTGGTGCTCTGTTCGAGCCAGGCCAGTTTGCCTTGCAGCAAGAAGGATGTAGGTTTGAACGCTCTCTGTGGCCTTTCTGTGTCAAATTTGCGTGTTCTAACCATGAATACACAAGTTTTCTCTGGGTGCTCTGGTTTCCTCCCTTAGTGCAAAAACATTCATATTTGGTTAATTGGTTACTTGACACTAGGTGTGATTGCGAGCATGAACGGTTGTTTGAATTGTTTGTCTATATGTTGCCCTGTCGTGAACTGACGACCTGCCTAGGATGTACCTCACCTCTCACCCAGTGACTGGAGATAAGCACCAGCCCATCACAAACCTTGACAGGAACAAGCATGTACAGAAAATAAATGGATAAACATACGAACATACGTAGTACGTACACGTATTTATGTACGTATGTACTTAAAAAAATGTTATTTTTTTTTTTACAAACGAACAAACCACTGGCAGAAATAGGTGTGTAGTTGGCGTTTAGTTTATACATCATGATGATTTAAAGGCGTAGTACAACCTAGAGTTTAGCATGATTAAGCAAAGATGACCAGGAACATTATAGGAGTAATCAGATGAGATCCATTATCTTTACCCCTTTCTTCCTTTCCGGGTCATGGGGGCCACTGGTGCCTATATCCAGCTATATGAAAGATAGGGGACACCCTGGACAGGTCTCCAGTCCATCACAGGGACACATAGAGAAAAACGAGACAAACAACCATTCACTCTCTCACTCACACCTAGGGACAATTCAGAGTTACCAATCAGTCTAACGTGCATGTTTTTGGTCTGTGGGAGGAAACTGGAGTAACCGGAGAAAACCCAGGTATGCATGGAGAGAACATGCAAACTCCACCCAGAAAGGTCCTTGGTTCGATCTGGCAACCTTCTCACTGAGAGGCGGCAGCTCTACCAACTGCTCCACCGTGCCGCCCCAGACAAGACCCATATTTCTTAATTCAACAACTAGCTATAACTTAACATAGAAATGTGCAGTCTTTTCACATAGTAGAGAGTATCTTTTTTTGCATTCAAACTATTAGCATATTTTTAAAAAATCCCACAAAACAATTGTGATTAAAGTATATCTGGTATTTATGTTGCAAAGATTCATTTCCTCCCCTCTTTTTTGGCTGCTAACTACTGCAGGGATCGCCACATTGAGTGAACTCGCATAAAAGATTTGGCAGTTGTTTTACACTGGATGACCTTCATAACGTAACCTGGGCTCGAACTTGCAACCTCAACTGTGGCACTGTCCAGCAAAAGTTCCAATATAATTTTCTTTTTCAAATTCTGTAGTTTTGCTGCTTACATTGCATTTAATATTTGCAGTCATTACTATAAGAACTAAATGTTTTTATCACATCCCAACATCTTAAAAATGAAGTCATCGTTTTACTGAGCCATAAAGTTTTTGTAGACCAGAAGTCTTTTTTTTTAAATGTCTGACATGAATTGCAGTATTTCCTAAACCATTAAATAAATGGAAATTATATTACTATTTTTTTTTTAACCAAAAGATGCTTTTGAAAAATCTAGTGTGACATTTCAGAGATGAAGTACAATGCGTACAGTGACAATAAAACTTTATTTATTGAAAATATACACTAATTCAGTAGGATTTGACTATTCCATGACCCTCTCCCCATCCTTTTAGAATCCAGTTTGACGTTTAGCCATGTTTAAAAAATAGCAAAGCTGTGTGTGTGTGTGTGTGTTTGTGTGTTAGCTCAGCTCTGGAGCGAGCATTGCACTGTAGAGTCTAATATTGGTTCAGCCCTGTGGGTTATCAGTTCCTGCTCCCATGATACCTTCGTTAGCTCTCACAAAGAGGACAAATAAAGCCTGAGTGGGTAATAACAGCTCAGGTTAACAGTAAATACACAATCACATTACCTGTTTGACTGCAAACACATTTTGAGAAAAAAACCCAACAACTTTTGAGTGTATTTTGCTCCGCCATTGAAATTATTTTTAATCCAAACGCTAAGCGCAGATATTCTAACCTCCAACATATTATTGCCATATTGTGTTTAAATCCCATAGAATGAACTATTAGGGCTGTACCTTTTTCTATAGGGGCTATTTGTTGAGTTAACATATACAGGTCCTTCTAAAAAAAAAAAAAGCATATTGTGATAAAGGTAATTATTTTCCATAATGTAATGATAAAAATGAAACTTTCATATATTTCAGATTCATTGCACACCAACTGAAATATTTCAGGTCTTTAATTGTTTTAATACTGATGATTAAGGCATACAGCTCATGAAAACCCAAAATGCCTGTCCCAAAAAATTAGCATATCATGAAAAGGTTCTCTAAACAAGCTATTAACCTAACCATCTGAATCAACGACGTAACTCTAAACACCTGCAAAAGATTCCTGAGGCTTTTAAAAACTCCCAGCCTTGTTCATTACTCAAAACCGCAATCATGGGTAAGACTGCCGACCTGACTGCTGTCCAGAAGGCCATCATTGACACCCTCAAGCAAGAGGGTAAGACACAGAAAGAAATTGCTGAATGAATAGGCTGTTCCCAGAGTGCTGTATCAAGGCACCTCAGTGGGAAGTCTGTGGGAAGGGAAAAGTGTGGCAGAAAACGCTGCACAACGAGAAGAGGTGACCGGACCCTGAGGAGGATTGTGGAGAAGGGCCGATTCCAGACCTTGGGGGACCTGCGGAAGCAGTGGACTGAGTCTGGAGTAGAAACATCCAGAGCCACCGTGCACAGGCGTGTGCAGGAAATGGGCTACAGGTGCCGCATTCCCCAGGTCAAGCCACTTTTGAACAAGAGACTGCGTCAGAAGCATCTCGCCTGGGACTGCTGCTGAGTGGTCCAAAGTTATGTTCTCTGATTACAGTAAATTTTGCATTTCCTTTGGAAATCAAGGTCCCAGAGTCTGGAGGAAGAGAGGAGACACAGAATTCACATTGCTTGAGGTCCAGTGTCAAGTTTCCACAGTCACTGGGGTGTCATGTCATCTGCTGGTGTTGGTCCACTGTGTTTTATCAAGGGCAGGGTCAATGCAGCTAGCTATCAGGAGATTTTGGAGCACTTCATGCTTCCATCTGCTGAAAAGCTTTATGGAGATGAAGATTTCATTTTTCAGCACGACCTGGCACCTGCTCACAGTGCCAAAACCACTGGTAAATGGTTTACTGACCATGGTATTACTGTGCTCAATTGGCCTGCCAACTCTCCTGACCTGAACCCCATAGAGAACCTGTGGGATATTGTGAAGAGAAAGTTGAGAGACGCAAGACCCAACACTCTGGATGAGCTTAAGGCCGCTATCGAAGCATCCTGGGCCTCCATAACACCTCAGCAGTGCCACAGGCTGATTGCCTCCATGCCACGACACACTGAAGCAGTCATTCATGCAAAAGGATTCCCGACCAAGTATTGAGTTCATAACTGAACATGATTATTTGAAGGTTGGTGTTTTTTGTATTAAAAACACTTGTCTTTCATTGGTGGGATGAAATATGCTAATTTTTTGGGACAGGCATTTTGGGTTTTCATGAGCTGTATGCCATAATCATCAGTATTAAAACAATTAAAGACCTGAAATATTTCAGTTGGTGTGCAATGAATCTGAAATATATGAAAGTTTCATTTTTATCATTACATTATGGAAAATAATGACCTTTATCACAATATGCTAATTTTTTGAGAAGGACCTGTATATATATATTTTCTACCAGGCATTCTGTTTCCTACCTTCTTTTTTCAGGCAAAGATTGCAGCATTTTTACTTTTAACAACCTTAAGGGATGATAACTGCATTCATGAGATGTAACAAATTTATATTCTGTGCAAACACATGCCTGACTGGAGCCCAGTGGCACCACAACTACTGGTATGTCAGCAAACATCCTGAGACGTTTTCTCAAAAATCTTTTCATAACAGCTTGACTAACCCTTTGGGAGCCTGACTCCAGGTAACACAGATAGTGGGTCTAATGTTTAATGTGCAGCCTATTGACTGCAGTTCACTGCTTAGGTGTTGCAGTTTTTCCCAGATAAATAAACTTAAGAAAATGTCTCTGCCCCTCGGGATATCAAGTTCTGTTGCAGCACCTGAAGGATTATGAAAATCTAGTGTAACTTGATTTCACAAGTGCTCATTCTTATTGTGGGACAATTGTGTTGTACTTGTTTTTAGGTTTGCCAGAGCTGGTTATTGCCAAATATTTCATGAACCACTTGACATATTTTAATGAAATTCTTAAAAAGTAATGTGATGCTCACCTCATCTACTACTAACTTTTGTAGTCAACTGGATGTCACAGCTAGTCAACATTAGAAACACAAAGTGATGACTATTCAGTCAGTTTTGCAGGTATTGAGTTGAAATTTGATGTCGTAGATGTCGTCACCACATACTCTGAGTGCTAACAGATCATGTGTCTTTGTTAAAATGTACTGCATAACATATACACTTTCTTTTAGGAATATATCTTTAATTTTGTAAAGAGTTTACTTAACATTTTGTATTTTGACAGTTTGCAAAACAAAAGATATACCGTAGTTTGGGATATTCTTGAGCTTTTTGTTTCAAATTTTACAAGTCTAATAGTGGAGAGTAGAAGCAATTTCTAACATTAGCCATTTTCTTGTCTTTTATAACTGGTTTATTACCATATTTAATTTATTTTTTATTTTCATTCTCATTGTATTTACCATTGTACTGTATATTTTTGAAAAATAACCAAATATATATTTAAATTGTGTAGTGTCAGCGATAGCTGGATTTTGCTTCTTAGAGATAGCAAAAGAGAATGTAGGACTTCATGAGCCCCTCCCTGGAAACACCCCCAGGTGGAGATAAAAAGAGTGTAAAAAGGTAGGAGGGAAAGTTGACAGAGGGAGGAGGGACAAACACAAACGTGCTGTCTCTCTGGGCTTGTATATTTAATATTTTATAATTACAATCAGGAGCTCCTTTAATTGACTCCATCTGTGACCCCCCCCCGAGTATTCATCGTGTGTTAGAGAGGGAAAACGTTTCAAGCAGTGTTAATAAGCACTGGGGTGAAAAACACTCATGAAATCTAGTTTGTGGTATATTTAAGTAAGAAAATGAATGTACAGTAGCTCTTTTTTCCAAACATATTATTTGTCTCTGTTTTTTCTTTCTGAATACTAATGTGCTCTGCATGTACATGTGCACACCTAACACACAGCAGCCACTCGTTTATCTCGTCTTTAGCTGCTGCCACGCCTGGGTTTTTAGATTTAGTTCAACCAGATTATGCGTGTCTCGGCTTCTCTAAAGGTCAGTGTTGGCATTTTCCCGAGTGATGAAATCACGTGAAATTGGCCTCACAGA